CAGCTCTGACATCGCTCTCGAAATTAATCCAAAGTGAATGCATGTTATGCTTATGAGCCCAGTTGTTTTGCATTGGCATAGATGATGTCTATATGTGTAGGTGTGGATATGGATGTGGATGTGGATGTGGGCGGGTGGATGGTTGGGTGTTGGTTGTGTTGGAAACGCCGACAAATGGTTTGATTGCAAATTGTTGTCACTGGAAATGTCAACAGCAATGACACGCATGGGATATGGTCGGCAGCCGCATGAGTAGGCAAAACCATATGGAAACCGTAATATTATGTACAATTCGACCTTGGGGAAATGAGGGGCGCTATATTTGCGAGTGATTGTTTTGTATGTGTATGCATGTGCATTTAATTGGTGCCAAGTGGCTTTAGTTTTGCATTACAAGTGCCCGCAATTTGCCATTAACGCTTCTTATATGACTGTATATGTGCCCTTTCAATGCATCACATTCGAACGGAAATGCGGCGGCTGTTTACCTTACGAACAGGGCGTATACGTTATTTCCGCTTTGCTACCATTTAGTATACACTTTCTCCCATCCCCATCTCCAAGGTAGCACTGAGGTGAGCGAACGACGCTTTGAACCCATCTGACCCATAAAACTATGCTACGCCCTTGCGCCTCGACAAATTTGAGCGCCTTCGTGTCTTTTGACCGCAGCGGAAATGCACATTAATTTTGAAAAATGATTTTGCTGTTAACAAATTGCATTTACCGCAATCCAGGAGCTCATGCAACAAAACCATTTGCTGCACTCACAAAACCCTAAGAAAGGTGCCGATTTGAATAGAATGGTTGATGACCCACCCATCAGGTTGTTGTCGTTATATATAATATATATATATATATTGTCTTTCACCATAAAACTTACGGTTTTATACCGGTTTTCGTTCAATTATAAGGTTATTAAGTTAACTGCAGTTTCGAAAATGTTCTTACAAGTTGAAAATCTCGTTTAGGAAGTTGACAATCTCGTTTAGATTATTATAACAGTTTTTTTTGTTAATACGACAGGTACAATAAGAAAAGTGTTTATAAAAATGTCAAGTTATAAAAATATTTATTAAATGTAACTTAAATATGATACATAACTTGATAGGTGCTTAGAGACAGCGGTAAATTCTTCTGTGTGCTCTTTAATGTATTATATTCATTTAATCAAAAAACACATCTCATTTTTAGAATTTTATAATTCTTAATAATTTCTGATAATTATTATTTTATATACGAGAAGTATTGTAAAAAAGTATTCGTCAAACGTAAAAAAATATGAATTAACTTCACTATTATGAGCGAGAAACAACTAAATAAATAACAAGAAACACCTTAGACATTGGCAAAACATTACATTATTTTGATTATTCCATATCCTGCTGATATTGATTTTCAGCATGTGGGTTGTTGGAGGAGGAACCTACGCGAAGACAAACAAACATTTGCAATTAAGAACGTAATCATGTCGACCGCAAATCACTCGGCCTTAGCACAAAGCCAAAACAGCTTAGCTTAGCAGTTATTTAGGAAGACCTTCAATTAGGACGAATCTAATTATGTGAATTGTCAACAAACTTGTGTATAACATATGGAGAGCAGAGCCATTGTTATATGATTAGCAGGCTAATGAGTTTAGTTTTATGTACTTTTATACAATGATTTGTGGTACACATACATACAAGTATATGCATGTTTCTTTGCTTTTAGCTTGCCTTTGTAAAGATGATTCTTGTTTATTTGTAAGCGATTTTTCAACCACTACAATTTCTTTGTTTATTGAACCGAGGTATTAACTAAGAAGCAAAATTCTAAATGGCGTTGATTTGTGTTGAAGATGTAACGTGAAGCTTAAGCTGCTTAATCTCAGACTATATATGTTTCAGCTTTTTTAACTGATGAGTATTTTGCATAGAGGGGGCAAAGGTTTTGCAATTTTATGAAAAAGAGCAAAAACATGACCGGCAGCGCTAATCGCTAAAAGCACAATATTCATCCCAGCTGTCATCAACTTTCACGTACTTGTTTGCATTCCTGTTTTTCGAAGCATATAGTACAAAAACAAAGTACAAGTATATCTAAAAGAAATCAGTGGCGCTACCGATAAAACCAATGGTTTTGTTTCTCAGTTCGGATTCAGAAGCTTTCAATAATGCTAGCACCGTTAGAATATATTTGTTTGGAATGAATAACACGTTTCAAAATAATTCTATTTATTTGAAAACATTTATTAATTTATTATTATTTATTATTTAATTTATTAATATTTTAAATTTATTATTATGCTTGTCTAACAGGTATTAAGTATCAAATCTGTACTGAGAAGTTAGCTAGTTATTGTTATTGTGTTGTTTTTTTTTTTTTAGCTTAAGGCTACCAAAATGAAAACCACTTTACGAAATGAAAGATATGTTTTGAAAATGTGGGAAATGCACACATATTAATTAATTTAAACAAATGCAAATTGTACATTAAAATAAAAGATTCTTTGCACAACAAATAAACTCTGCTAGCATTCTGAGAATTTAAGAATTACCAACCATTCTGATATTTTTCGCTATTACGGTTATTGGGTGGTATGTGGGTGTCTCTAATAGCTACACAAAGAGCGTACACAGCTATGTATAATGGAAATAAGTTTAAAATATGCTTATGAATGTCTGTATGCCTCTCGCCAGCTGTACAACTTCCTTTTGGCTTAGTTTTGTCGCGTTTCCGTTTGCTTTTCATGTTTATTGCTATTGTTATTGTGTTATTGTTTCGTACTGCTGCCCATTATGTTTTTTTTATTGCATGACTCGACGCATTGTTTTTGGGCTTATGACCGAAATTTTCTGTACGTCGTCAAGGCAGTGCAAGACCAAACAACAAAAGTTTGTGAAAAAATTAGTCAGGAAAATCAGCGACGTTTTGTCTGGCATTGAATGCGATTCCATGAGGACTTTAAGTTAAAATTGAAATGTTTTCTCCTATTGTTCTGGCAAAAGGTCAAAGTTGATGTGGCAATTGTGACAAGCAGAGTTGTTGACTCTTTGTGCGCTGCCTCGGGGCATTGAAAAACGATTTCAATTATAATTACGGAAAATAGGAATGACGCACAGTCGGTGGAAAATCGTAAAAAAGCGGCCAGCCTTCAAGTGATTGCGCTTAAGAAAATGATGATTACATTTTATAGAAATTACCCATTGCCCTCATTACTTCTCAGTCCCTTATTGCACGCCTATATACTTGTATGTGTGTTTATGTAAGTAGGGAGTTCTTCGTGGGTCTTTCCTAATTGTAGTAAGCCCTACAGCATTATTTATTTCACTTGATTTCATTGTTTTTTTGTGCTTTCGGTGCTGCATGTATGTAACACATGAAATGCTAAAAACTTTCGACTTGATATGCAAATGTAACCGTGCAGTCTACGAATCTGCATTCGTTTACATACAATTAAAGGTTTTAAACAATTCAAAAGTATCTGAAATGTTGCAAATTCTGTGATTTTGCACGAACGAGACCTGAACGACTTGGGCGAGATTTATTTTGTATTAATTTTTATAAAGAATTTACCAATGTACAAATTTACATTCTTTTTCATCCAATAATTCACCCGGACAATAATTTAGGAATATATATAAATTTTTTTTTAGTAAAAGCTGTTAATTTTGGCCCTCAAATATAACTTTATGAATAGCTCGGAAACTATGATTCAAATTGACATAAATCCTAACTACCACGTAAAGAAATGTAAAGTGAAATATTTTCTTGGGTTTAATGGGGAAATAAAATGTTTTTGATTTCTACTTTTTTTTCAAATCCATCAGCTTTGTTTACTCACAAAATTATGCTTTTTGATTGGTAAACGCAGTGCAATACCTAAAAATATGTATTTTTTTCATTAAAGCAGCTGAGCTAGTATCTCCTCATATCCTTTAACTTGATGAATGACTTCACTTATTTCACTCAACAGCTAAACAAACCTCTGACTATTTACCAGACAACAATCCATAACTTATACTTTAAGTATAAAATATATAATCATCTTTTAAAATATGGGTGAAAAAAAGCACTTAATAATAATAAAAAAAATTATTCTAAAATACTACCCGCATATGTATATATGTACATATGTATACGTTATATCAAACGCAAATCAGCACATACTAAATCGCGCATACGCCACGTTGTGCGGCAAGTGTTTGGATTTTCGCTAAGCGGCGGGTGGGCACCAGATTCGCGTGCTGTTTGCTTTTGAAGCGCAAGTATTTTTATAACCCGCTGTGCTAATGATCTCTGAAATATGTACAAATGTATGTTGCCTTGATTGTGCACTGCAATAAATATAAGTATGTATGTAAGTATATTCACAGACTGCAAACAAAAACACAACTCAATAGCGCGTGGAAATGATCAAAACATGTTCATATACATACAAGTATGTATGCCATTTTATTTTCAACGAATAAAATTCATTTCATTCGTGACAGGTGAACATAGTATTTTGTGAGCGTGTGCTGAGCTGTCAAATCGTTATAACAACTAAAAAATGTCTGAATTTTTATTCTTAAATTTTTATAATTGTTGTTCAACCTTCGTTTGGTAATTAAATGCATATAAATATTAAGAAATATTAAGAAATAAGAAAAACACATTATGTAAGTTACAAGCAAAGCCCTTTTGAAAGAACACAAACACAAAAGCACAGCTGGATACATTTCTAAATAATCAACAACATCTCGTAACACATGAGCTGTGAAGAAAATGTTAATGACGGTCAGTGAGTGCGGGTCTAATCAGCATAATATGTAATTTGCCAACAGCCTAAGTAAATGACCAGTGGCCGAGCTTTTGTTTGGCATTGAAAATAATCAATAAGATTGCTTGTTAGTGGGAGCAGCATGTGTTGTTACTTTTGAGAGTTTTGTCGACAATGTGGTTATAGTATCTTTCATTTGTCATTAGTCGAAGGGCAGTTTTAATTAACAAACATCTATTTTAACATGCGCTTTCAGAGTCTGTTTGAACTCGAGCTGGCCGGATGCAATGAAGTCACCGAGGCCGGCCTCTGGGCCTGTCTGACGCCGCGCATTGTTTCCCTATCGCTGGCGGACTGCATCAACATTGCGGACGAGGCGGTTGGGGCTGTGGCCCAGCTGTTGCCATCCTTGTACGAGTTCTCGCTGCAGGCAAGTATCAGACCAAATGGCGCGCATATATAAATATAATTTCAATTCCATCTGTCGCTCTTAACAGGCTTACCATGTGACCGATGCTGCCCTGGGCTATTTCTCACCAAAACAAAGTCACAGTCTGAGCATATTACGCTTACAGTCATGTTGGGAACTAACCAATCATGGCATTGTTAATATTGGTAAGTCAACAAATGACTACGAAACATATAAGGACGAAATTGGCAAATATGTTAATTTAAAATCTGAATACGAATAATTGAATTCAATTTTTTTGGTAATGGAGCACATATTTAATATTATCCATTTAATTTAATCAAAAGTGAATTAAGCTTCAAGTCATCTGCAATTAATGGTTTATTTGTAATTTATATATTACATGTAAGCTTATTATTAATAGATTATTGGTTTACTGATATTGCTTTATATTAACAAAAATACTTGTATTGCATTTCAACGGAGAGCCAACTGTTTTGCTTCTGTGGTGTGCGAGTACAAATTAATGGCGATTTACTGCTGATACTTAATTTACAACAAATAAGTGGTTGAGTATTGTTGGAAATCTTTACTATAAACTATCTATATATATCGACAAACCATACCAAATTGTGAACTACAATTTAAACACCCACTTTTTCAGCTACCAAGAATTTTCATTTGTTTCTCCATTCAATAAGTTTTGAAATATAAGTTGCAAGTGCGAAATCCACAAACTAGTAACTTATTTTTTCTCAGTGCATTATTAATTGGCCATGTCTAATTAATTTTATGGCTGTAATTTGTGATGGTTGCAATTAGTTTTACATTCAACTTATGTTTTTTTATATCTTCAATACGAGTGTTGCAGCATTAAATATTTAAAATGAACCGTAGAACAGGTGGGGTGTGGAAAGCGTGTTGGTTCTTTTCTTTATATTTGGCCTTAATTATTGTGGAACGAGCGGACTGTGATGGTCATCCGCCAGGCGTGTGTACACGGAAGATATTCTAGGAGATGTGTAAACAAATAAATATGTACAAAAAGTAAAATATAAAATGCATACCTTTTGTCCTTTTTTCCCTGCACCTAAATACTTAATTGAAACTGTTTGTGGTTCCTTTGTGGAACGAGAAGGAATGGTTCGCAGTTAGCATCCCAGGCGTCATTGGCAGACAATGGCATAACCCTTGTCAGATCCCAAGCTGACATTAGCTTCCATTGCATATACTTTCCTGCCTTCTTCCGCGATTCGTTGCTACCTCTGGTGTGGGCTTACGCCAAGGAGCAGCCTTGACAGCTTGGCGCAGTCGACGTTTTTGTGCGAATCGGTTCAATATTCAAGCTAGCACAAGTACGAGCACGAGCAGAAATCAGAAATCAGCCGTTGCCTTGGGCCAAGTCACAAGTGCATATTGAGGTTGAGTGCTGGGGTTTAGTGGAGAACGGCGACGGTGTGCTCTGCTTTGTCTGCACTCTGCTGCCACAGCAAAACAACGTTTTAAAGCATACTTTCAGGCGCCCTGAGTCTCAAACTCTCAACGCCACCTCACCTACTGCGCGATCTGGAGCCTTGGCAAGCTACATGGAAATCCAAACACGGTGTTCAGTCACGCCCACAGCTCACGTCAATCCAGCCTAGGCAAACTTTGCCTTAAGTAAAGATGGCAGTCTATAAACTGTCGCTGCCGTTCCAAGTACCACTGCAGCTCGTACTCGTGTATTTCTGAGTGTCTGTGTATTCGGGGCCTTGTCTGTGTGTGTGTGTGTGTGTGTGCGTGTGCTTGGCAGCTTTCGTTATCTGCGCATTGCCTTTGCACGCTCGTTTGACCTTTGCGGCGACTGCATGACGCTCACCTACCACTCGCTTTGACCCATTCCCTTGCAAAAGCGCCTAAACGGCTGCAATAAACTTTTTCCCCACTGTTGTCATAGCTCTTGACATTGCGCAGCTCCACTTTACTCTGTGATGTTGTTTGCGTGGGTGCATGTGAGACGCTTCAATCAATTTAACGACGTGGTATTTCTTATGACTTTTAAAGTTTATTAAATGGCTACCGAAATCCCCCCTTTCCAACACGAACTATGAGTATGCATGTAGCCAAGAGCTCGCATCAATCTTCGCCTGCCACAGCTTCTATTTAATTCATCAACAGCCAAGCAGCATCATTCATTTATACAACTCTGCTGCCAGTCTGCCTACAAAATGTTATCCTTTTTAACAATTTTTTACATCTTTAGCGAAAAGGTTCTAGTCAATTTCAAGACAAATTTATCAAAAGAGTTACGCCATGATTAGTAAATGATGAATAATTGAAATTTCAAATTTGAAGTTCATGTGCTCGGCGGAACCATATGAGCTTTAAATAGCTAACATTATTGCAAATGCTTCCATACGAGGCATTTATGTGAATGGTACCGGAGATACTTGTAAATGCATAGTTGTGTAGTTTAAAAAGGGGCCTTTTTCTTGTCACAACAGTTTATCTTTAATAAATTCCTCACATTCTTAGAATTCAATATTTCAAAGATTAAATGTTTTGTGATTTGTTTACTTGTTGGCGTAACATAACAATTTTAAAAAAACCTCTTCTTCATGCTTCTTGACGCACGAGCTGGGCTTTTTTGTCCCTTCGCTGGTACCCTTGTTGAGTCTTTGGATCTGAGCCTTAAGAAATTTATGAATAAATGAGTACTAACAGAGTTGAACTTCCAGCTTTGTATTTAAGTTTGTGCGCATATAAGTAAAACTTTGCACATTGCATTTACTTATGTACGAGGGTGTACATATTTATGTTTACATACCACACACGGACTACAAGTATGTCGATGGGGATGTAACAAGTTGTTTTATATATGGACTAACATAAAATGGCAATAATATGTATACACAACAAGCAACATGCCCTAAACTTTAATCGAGTCCACACGTGTGGGGAAATACTTGTAAGCGCCATATTTAATGCCAACGTTTTGTGTAAATTGCAACTCAATCATAAAATATTCACAAAATATGAAAAATTCTCCGAAAGAGACAGGAAAAAAACACACACATATTTTGTATTCATGTGTGTATGTATCATATATATGTATATATATGTATGCATGCATGGGTGTGTACATTCATATATTGGCAAAAAAAAGCTCAAACTTTTTAGTGGTCGTCACAACTGTGCCCCGGGTAAATATTTTCAGCATTGCTTAGGCATAATAAATTGTAATTAAATGCCATATTTGGCAAGCGATTACAAATCTGATACTAGACTTTTCAGCGAAATTGCTAATTATTTATTGATTGGATGGTACAGTGGGGATTGAACAAATAAACGAAAATAAAATTAACACATAATAAGTTGCCAGACCCATTAAAGCGAGGATATAGCTTTAAAAACTCCCTTAAGATGATTTTTATAAATTAAAAAGTAAATATTACCTGAGTTACAAATAAATGGATAGGGATCGTTATTCATTTCAATTCCAGTAGGATTGCAGCATGCCAAAATAATAACGCTAAAAAATCAGCTGTTCATCCAACACAAGACAAAGTGCAAGAAGAAGAAGAAGAAAAAGCAATTATTGCCTGAATAAAAACTAGCAGATCTTGCCTGTTTTGATGGACTCCGTATTTTTTCTTACAATTATACGTTTATTTACAATATGCTATTTTATACTCGTACGATTTCCATACATACATATGTATATTGGATGTAAATATGTAAAAATCTGAAAAATAAAAATTATAATAATTTGAAATTAAATTGTGAAATTTCCGCCCTCCTCTGCGATTCTCATACCTAGTACCTAAGTGCTGGCAAAACGAAAATTGAATTGTGAAATTTCTAAAAAAAAAAAAAAAAAATAATAATTTTGTGAAAATAAATTCTGATATTTCAGATAAATTAAAAAAAAAATATTGTGGGCGCCCTCCTCTGCGATTCTCATAGCAAGTACCTAAGTGCTGGCAAATCGAGAATTAAATTGTGAAATTATGAAAAATTAAATAATAATATTTCTTAAAAATTAAAAAATAATATTATGAAATTAAATTGTGAAATTTCAATCAGTCAGTCAGGATTTTATATGTATATATATATAGCAAGAGACTAATTCAGAGAATGCGTCTACCTGATCATATTTTGAATATGAGCTCTGATTGATTTACTTTTGTTTTTGGTGGTTGTTGGTTCAAAAAAAGCTGACTGACTATCGGAAAATTACTAGACAAGTTACTTGATATCGATCTGAGCTCGAATGGTTTATGGTAACACTAATGAAGCAGCCTACCTCAACCAGTCCAACTGTGACCATTTAAAAATGATATATATAAGTATGTACATACTTGGAAGAAGTCTTGGAAAGTAGGAGTTCAGAGTAATTTAACAGGTGTTCTATACAAATATGCTCCCACTCGTAAGTATATCCCAGACTTTATGAAAATGATGTAAGATAGTTGCATATTTTGAAATGCATCAGTGAATGCTCTTAGATGTTTTTAATTTTTCACTTACCAGCGAATCTTTTAGATTTCTGCCGTTGAGAATATTTGTTACTTGTACATACACATACACGTATAACTTTTGATAAGCACTTAGGGCCCCCATTGCGCGCGACAGAAGATACTCGCGCTCCCACTTTTATCACAACATCGAGAAGCCATTTAGTTAATTGCATTTGGCATCTAATTCAATTTGGGGAACTTCTCAGCACTTGTGAGTGCGTTTAAGTTTATTTACTTGGCAGTGGCGTTCAAGCGCCTCTTTAGCTCAGTGGCAGAGCACTGGTCTTGTAAACCAGTGGTCGTGAGTTCAATTCTCACAGGAGGCAGGACAGCGGGTGCGCTGGCACTTTTTTGCCCTTATGGCGAGGTGCTGATGTGATTGAAAAGCTTTTGTCAAAAATGTTCTTTTCATTTTCTTTTCCCCGATCATTTTATTAAAGCAATAATTTGCAATGAAATTCAATAAAAGCCCTTAAGGGAGCTCTTTACATTTTCAGTTCTCAACTGGCTGCATGCCAAGCACCAACGACTTTTTATTACCTTACGAACGTTTTAACATTGTGGGACACATCATTTGGCACGCAAACGCAGAGCCAGAACACCGGAAACGGAAGCCAACTGACACATTGACACACGCACGCGCACACAAGCAGACATTCAGAAACTCACAAGCACGCACACACACGCACACGCACACACATAGAGCG